GGGGGCCAGTATTAAAAAAAAAACTTTAAAAAAATGGTATTCACTAACTGTAAGTCGCTTTGGATAAGAGCGTCTGCTAAATGACTTAAATGTTAAATGTAGAAAGAAAATCAAAGAAATTGGATGTCATTGTGGCTGCCGCAGGAAAGTATCTGGGACTTCAGGAATTCACAGCGGAAGATTTGCAAGGGTTATTGTCGACGGAAGATGTGCCGCCCTCCAAGGCTCCTGAGCCTGTGTAACAAATGGGATCAGACATTGATTATTGATTTCAACAGATGAATCAAGGAGCATGTTGATGAGTGATCTTTGGGTAGTCAGTATGAGTATTTTTATCCACATTTGAGTATTTGGGGATCTTTTATTTTCATCCCGCACAGTTGGTGGCGACAATAAATATTTTTGCGTGTAGTTCGACATAAAACCCAAAGAAGAATTATTCTCATCAGCAGCCTATGCTTTAGCTTAATGCACCCATTTATTAGCCTATCTTAAGGACATTATCAACATAAATATTTATCTTATTAATTGTCTGTTATAATCATTATATGGGAATAATAGGCATTTTATCGAAGAAAATGTAACCTATTTCCTAACAGCCATTTTCATGTGCTGTCATGAACCCTGCGTCCTGAGTGGCGCAGTGGTCTAAGGCACTGCATTGCAGTGCTAACTGTGCCACTAGAGATCCTGGTTCGAATCCAGGCTCTGTCGCAGCCGGCCGCGACCGGGAGACTCATGGGCGGCGCACAATTGGCCCAGCGTCGTCCAGGGTAGGGGAGGGAATGGCCGGCAGGGATGTAGCTCAGTTGATAGAGCATGGCGTTTGCAACGCCAGGGTTGTGGGTTCGATTCCCACGGGGGGCCAGTATAAAAAAAATATGTATTCACTAACTGTAAGTCGCTCTGGATAAGAGCGTCTGCTAAATGACTAAAATGTAAATGTCCTGAGTCGGTTCCTGCCTGTGTTGCCGTTTTTCTGCTCTGAATCTCCTGTTTCCTGAAGGTTCTTGAACGCTCCCTGCCTGGTTGCCGGGCGACGTTGCTAGGCGGGAGATCTCCCGATTACCCGTACTTGCATCTCATCAGCGATCTGCACACCTGGTCCTGATCATCACCCTTCATAAGCTCTGACCTGACATCCATTCCCTGCCGGATCGTTAGCCATGAACAGTATGTTTGTCAGCGTATCAGCCTCTGAGTTACTATCGTTAGTTTTGTTGTTTTGTACCTTGTTGGCTTGCCGTGTACTTACCTCCGTTTGTTTCTATCTACAGTCATTCTCCCGGGACCTTCACCCAACCCCTGCCTGGTTGTCGGCGGCTGCCGAGCCATCATTGGATCTGCCACTTCACCTCCACCATCTCATCTCCGCCACCCGCTCTGTCCCCTGGATTATTCTGCATCGTTTTTTGAATCTGTTAATAAATACTCACCTTCGTTCAACTCACCTTGTCCTGGTCTGCTTCTGGGTTCTGGCTTAGAAAACCGTGACATGTGCTATATAAATACATGTAAAAACGTAGCCTAAATGCTGAGGATATGGTTTTTGCAAGCACCAACATCTCTCTTGAAAAAGTTGACAATCCCAAAATGCGCACATTCATTCAACACGTGTAAAGAACGGAGGCGCCTTCTGGTATATAACGCAGCAAAAATTAAACGTTGGCTAGCTAGCACATTAACATTGGAAACAACTCTCCACCGTTGTTAAACGTTACCAGTAGCTACCCGCTAGCTAGCTAGCCTCGTGCTTTCTCCGGGCTCCGCCGTAAACAATACTTACCTACAATAATTACCTACGGAAACCTACAATAACTACCTAAATAAACTACCTACAATACCTAACTACAACTACCTACCTACGATCAAATGCATGGTTTAAGCTTTACTCAACACCATATAAGAAGCCACGCTTACCTCAAGCTTACCTCCTGCTAGAGAAAACACAACCTCTCCCGACCAGTGCTCACCTTCGTTCAACTCACCTTGTCCTGGTCTGCTTCTGGGTTCTGGCTTAGAAAACCGTGACATGTGCTATATAAATACATGTAAAAACGTAGCCTAAATGCTGAGGATATGGTTTTTGCAAGCACCAACATCTCTCTTGAAAAAGTTGACAATCCCAAAATGCGCACATTCATTCAACACGTGTAAAGAACGGAGGCGCCTTCTGGTAAAAAACAAGAACTGAAAACATCTCCATAATAACGGACGAATCCACTGGCACACAATACCAATATGTTCTATATATTTTGTAGGAGAGCTGGGTGAAGACGTTAAAGTTGTTCTGGCTGATACAATGTATTTACAGGCAGTGAACTATTCAACAGTGTCAGAATATCATTCCGAGTGCCTGCGCTTTTACCTTTTGCTTTTTGGAGGCTGAGAAGCGTTTCTCCAAATACTGCTGTCTTAGAGTTGGATTAGTTGTTGGGTTGTTATTTCTATAGCAAATTAAAATAGGCTAACCATTTACAGAGCATTCGGAAAGTATTCAGACCCTTTCCCTTTTTCCACATTGTGTTACTTTACAGCCTTATTCTAAAATGGATTTAAAAAAAAAAAAAATCCTCATCAATCTACACACAATACCCCATAATGACAAAGCGAAAAGAGGTTTTCAGAATTTTTGCAAATGTATTAAAAATAAAAAACAGAAAAACCTTATTTCCATAAGTATTCAGACCCTTTGCTATGAGACTCGAAATTGAGCTCAGGTGCATCCTGTTTCCATTGATCCTCCTTGAGATGTTTCTACAACTTGATTGGAGTCCACCTGTGGTAAATTAAATTGTTTGGACATGATTTGGAAAGGCACACACCTGTCTATATAAGGTCCCACAGTTGACAGTGCATGTCAGAGCAAAAACCAAGCCATGAGGTTGAAGGAATTGTCCATAGAGCTCTGAGACAGGATTGTGTCGAGGCACAGATCTGGGGAATGGTATCAAAACATTTCTGCAGCATTGAAGGTCCCCAAGAACACAGTGGCCTCCATCATTCTTAAATAGAAGAATTTTGGAACCACCAAGACTCTTCCTAGAGCTGGCCACCCGGCCAAACTGAGCAATCGGGGGAGAAGGCCCTTGGTCAGGGAGGTGACCAAGAACCCGATGGTCACTCTGACATAGCTCCAGAGTTCCTCTGTGGAGATGGGAGAACCTTCCAGAAGGACAACCATCTCTGCAGCACTCCACCAATCAGGCCTTTATGGTAGAGTGGCCAGACAGAAGCCACTCCTCAGTAAAAGGCACATGACAGCCCGCTTGGAGTGTGCCAAAAGGCACCAAAAGGACTCTCAGACCATGAGAAACAAGATTCTCTGGTCTGATGAAACCAAGACTGAACTCTTTGGCCTGAATGCCAAGTGTCACGTCTGGAGGAAACCTGGCACCATCCCTACGGTGAAGCATGGTGGTGGCAGCATCATGCTGTGGGGATGTTTTTCAGCGGCAGGGACTGGGAGACTAGTCAGGTTTGAGGTAAAGATGAACGGAGCAATGTACAGAGAGATCCTTGATTAAAAAACCTGCTCCAGAGAGCTCAGGACCTCAGACTGGGGAAAAGGTTCGTCTTCCAACAGGACAACGACCCTAAGCACACAGCCAAGACAATGCAGGTGTGGCTTTGGGACAAGTCTCTGAATGTCCTTGAGTGGCCCAGCCAGAGCCCGGACTTGAACCCTATCAAACGTCTCTGGAGAGACCTGAAAATAGCTGTGCAGCTTCCCATCCAACCTGACAGAGATTGAGAGGATCTGCAGAGAAGAATGTGAGAAACTCCCCAAATTCAGGTGTGCCAAGCTTGTAGCGTCATACCCAAGAAGACTTGAGACTGTAATCGCTGCCAAAGGTGCTTCAACAAAGTACTGAATACTTATGTAAATGTGACATTAATGGTTTAAAATAATAATAATATGGCTAAAATTTCTAATAACCTGTTTTTGCTTTGTCATTATGGGGTATTGTGTGTAGATTGATGAGGGGGAAATAAACTATTTAATCAATTTTAGAAATAAGACTGTAATGTAACTAAATGTGGAAAAAGTCAAGGGGTCTGAATACTTTCCGAATGCACTGTATGTTCTGAAAATAGTCTACATTACCCCCTCTACATTTTCTGATATAAAAATGTCCATCATACCTATATGTTAAGAACAGACAATGAATATGATTGACATTGTCTCGTTATGTAGCCTCAGGATGATACTGTTTCGCTATATCCTCCACAACCTTCTAATGTAGAAGCATTATTCTGAGACCGCATAACGTATTTATTTTTATGGCTGTCTTTCCATTTATAAAGCATAATCATTTCAAACCTTGCTTACATTTGTACATTCTACATTTACGTCATTTAGCAGACGCTCTTATGCAGAGCGACTTACAGTTAGTGAATGCATACAGGGTTTATTATTATTTTATATTTTTTTCATACTGGCCCCCCGTGGGAAACGAACCTCACATCCCTGCCGGCCAAACCCTCCCCTACCTTGGACGACGTTGGACCAATTGTGCTCCGCCCATGGGTCTCCCGGTCGCGGCCGGCTGCGACAGAGCCTGGACTCTAACCAAGGCGATGCAGTGCCTTAGACCACTGCGCCACTCGGGAGTCATGTGTCTCTCTGTTATGCGTGGGAATACTTGGGAACAGATTTCTTTAAATTAAAATCACATGGAGCTGATTTCCTGGTGTTTTTAGTCTTTTATGTCCAACAATGAAAATTCAAGAAAAATAAAATAAGAAGTGTTTTGTTTTGCAAGAAAAATAAAATAAGAAGTGTTTTGTTTTGCTCAGAAGACTTGGCAGGCCAAATAGAACCACCTGCGGGCCAAATTCGGCCTGCAACCCGCCAGTTGGGGAACCCTGGTCTAGACTGGCTATTCCTTTGTGATAAATAAACTATCATAAGGATATTCACCTACCAACAAGTGACTGTAATATTATTTGACAAGTAATTGGCTCAAACTCACTGAAAAAAATATATTTTGGGAGGGGCAATCGCGACTGCAGGCAGGCTCCTATCCGCGAGTATGATGAAAGAGTTTAATGCTAGAATCTACCATAAGTAGCCAACAAAGTGATGAACCCTATCCGATATGTATTAATTGAACTGCTTCTTCTTTGTTCGTTTATTTCGCTAAGTGATGTTAGACTTGCAGGTAAGTTATGTTTTTACAAACATTTGAAAAAGCGTTTTTGAAAAGTGAAAGCAAACGTAATGGGGCTGTTCTGCTAGGCTATAACATTTTAACAAAACGTTTTAAACTCGTTCGTTTTTTTATAGTTCAAATAAGGACTAGGGTACAGAATATCTTAAACATTAAATTACATATAGAATAGATTCTAGCTATGTACTCTACTAAAAAGCTAGAAAAATAATAGTTATGCATCGCATTCAGGCTATAAAACAATGGAAACTCAACTAATGTCAGTTTGGATGACAAATCTATAACACATATTTCTATATGAATTTGGTCGGGTTGCCCAAAAAGTTACATATTGTAGCTTTAAGCAAAATATCCATGCCTCTATAATAACGAAAATGAAACCTACACGCATAGAATAAACTTCAATTAATGTTATTTCACGCTTATACTCTCACCCTCACGTTTATATTATTATCGAAATGTTTAGGCCTGTCTTTTCAGAGAAGAAATCACTTCAATTTATTTTCCAGAGAATTAGAAGAGTGCATATACTGTATGTCTTAGTCTAAGACAGATTTTAAAAAGTATTGCTTTTATATTCTTGCTTTCATAAATGTATTTCTGATATCCTGTTAATTAATGAAAATATTATATATGCCTACATGTAGCCTATTCTATGATTTTGTTGTTTTTAAATAAATTATGCATTTTAAGTTTATCAGAAGTTCTAATAGGCATTCTCTCGTCATCCATTGTTCTCCCTTTCTCTTAACATCACCCGCTCACAGTGAAACATGAACTTCAGTACGTGTACACCTACTTCAATTCCTCCCACTATGAAGTTGTTGGGTTGTTGGATGGTGAACTTGTGGACTTCTACAGCAGAGGCCTCAATTCCCCTGTACCTAAAAAAAGATGGAATGAAAACGAGACAAGCTTTGGATATTATGAGTGGAAAGAAAGTATTTCATCTCGACAGGACATTAATACGTGTTTTTTATCCAGTGCTGTAGACCTGAAGAGGCACTTTGTAAAACATCACTTAGGTGAGTTGCACCTTTGCTTTCTCAGCGTTGTTTTAGTTCAGTGTACTAAATGCATGTTAATCCTTTCCATCTTTGTCGTATTAGGGGGTGATATTGTGCAGATGAGACTTGGCTGTACTAAAACCACCACTGGAGGCCTTAGCACGGAGGAGAAAGACATTGGCTTTGCTGAGTTTGCCTATAATGGAAACACAGTGCTGCTCCTCAGTCATAACTCAAACATGTGGATTCCAAAAGATGAAGATGCTCAACATATTCACACTATTGCACAAAAATTGAACACCCTGAGCATGAAAGACACTTTCACCAACTTTGTGAATGTTAAGTGTCCTGTGGTACTTGATAGTTTTCGATCATTAGAGAGCAAGAACTCATGTGAGTGTTACTATTGGTTGCACTTTGGTTTTACAAATGTCAAATTTGATTAGCTGTTCCAGATCTTTCAGAACAGTTTTACAGTCATGTAATCCCCACCTGTATGGATCACATTCTTATCACTTCTCCCACTGTCAATCAGTGTCTCTTATCACCTATTTATCCAGGTCTCATATTTATGTTATGTAAGTAACCATGTATTCTTATGCCTCTGCAATGTTGTAGCTGCTCCAAAGGTCTACACTGTCCCTAGTGGCTCTTTAAAACCTGGGTGGGTCAACCTGACTTGTTTAATTACCGGATCCTATCCGAAGTCATCACCCATCGAGATGAATCTGTTTAGGGACAACATCCTCCTAACGGAGATGGATGGTGTCCATTCATCGGGAGTCAGACCTAACGAAGACCACACCTACCAGCTGAGGAAGACAGTGAGGATTAACGCCTTAGAGTCTGTCGTTTATCGATGTGATGTCAATCATAAAACGCTTCCCTAAACCACGGAATTACACTTGGGGTAAAATTCTTTCTTCAATTCAATGACTTCAAAGCATGGACATATTGATGTTTGTGAGCAAATAAAATGGTCTCTTTAAGGTCCGAATTTTGATAATGTAGAATTTTTATATGTTGGAGAAATTAATGGGGACACCATTAAAAGATGATTGCACTTCGTATACTTATATAACAACTATGCAGAAACCAATGGAATGACTACTGTGTGTTCTTGTGTGCTTACAGAGGTGAAAAAACAAGAGGAGGAGGAGCGATCACATCTTCTACTGGCTGTCGTTGCTGTCGTTGCTGTTGTTGTCGTTGCTGTTGTTGTTGCTGTTCTGTTTTTCAAAAACAGACGGAGATCTGAGTCTAATGAACATTTGGCTGGTGAGTATAGCCTATTAAACCAAATGAGTGTCAGCCCAACTTAAACATTTGGCTGGTGAGTATAGCCTATTAAATCAAATGAGTGTCAGCCCAACTTAAACATTTGGCTGGTGAGTATAGCCTATTAAACCAAATGAGTGTCAGCCCAACTTAAACATTTGGCTGGTGAGTATAGCCTATTAAACCAAATGAGTGTCAGCCCAACTTAAACATTTGGCTGGTGAATATAGTCTATTAAACCAAATGAGTGTCAGCCCAACTTAAACATTTGGCTGGTGAGTATAGCCTATTAAACCAAATGAGTGTCAGCCCAACTTAAACATTTGGCTGGTGAGTATAGCCTATTAAACCAAATGAGTGTCAGCCCAACTTAAACATTTGGCTGGTGAGTATAGTCTATTAAACCAAATGAGTGTCCGCCCAACTTTAACAGAGACAAGGGTGCTCAACCGAAGAATCCAGTGCATTATATTAACCAAGTTCCATCTCCAAAAAGGTACTAACCATGCTGGTTAATTACTTACTGTCTTTATTTACACTCATGTTTTGTTAGCAGTCAAATGTGTTAAACACTGGCTTGATCAGAGCCATACAGACTCTTCTCCATGTGGAACTAAACATGGATGATACTCTACATAGAACTTAGGTTCTGAGACTAATGTGAAAGGATTTTTCCCAGCTCCTAATCCTGAAGAGAATGCTGCACTGAGAGCTCAAGTTGGAGGGAGTTTGACTGGTGAGTTTCATTCTTAGGGTTGGTGTCTCTTTTCCAGGACCTCTGTTTTATATTTGATGCTGATGCATGATAATCATTGCGTTTTAATGTCTTCATGTATTGATTATTTTAGATCCAAGAGGTGATGCCACTTCTGGTAAGTATTCTGTTCATGCTCAGTATTCTTACGAGGTCAATTTGAAAATGATCAACAACAACTAAACAAGTGGTGAAAATAACATAGATGTGTGTATTTCCCTGATGCATCATCTCTCTTGACTAATGACATTTTTGATAGATGTGGGTATCCGAAAAAGAATAATGGCATAAAATGTTTTTTTTCTTGGCTGTTGTAGTCAATCTGTCCTCTGAGAGAGATGTTCTTTCAAATGACCCTGATGCTGAAGGTGAAAATGGTGAGATAATCATTTCCTGGCCAAGTAATGAAAAGTTATCTAGCTCTCACAAATAGAGCTAGCTAAAGCCAGAAGAATAATATAGTCGTTGAACATAGCTATAGCCATCAGTATTGTATGTTTTCCTGGTCATCAATCACTGTTAATTTAGTCAAGGTCCTGACATCAGCGTAAAGGGCTCTTTGACGCATTACGCGAACGTGACGTTGGCTTCTAAACAAAAAATGGCTTTATTAAGCCCATGATTTTCCTTCACTAATGTACACTATACTACTATAATACTACTGTACTATACTACTAATATTGATTTCTGCCTTTGCTTATCATTTTAGATGAAGCCTATGGGAGTTGTAGAAGCTCTGGTGAGTATTGCAGCAATAGCTAAGTTTCCATCCACTTGTCGAAAGTTTTTCAAGTAAATTATTTTCTACTCGCGTAAAAAAGATATGCACCAGCAGAGGTGTGTTTCCATCAAGCTGGCTTGTTGCAGATAGAAAGCAGTGGGTAGATGAAGTGCACATATAAATAACTTTGCATCATGTCTTTTCATGTACCGAATAAAAAAACAAAGTTCAATGTGTTTCCATTGCATTTTCAACTATACTCATGGTTTTGTCACAAATTGTGTTCTGATATAGCAAACATGCCCAATCTGGCCTTGGTGCATGCTCTCTAATCAACAGTTTTCAGATAGGGTGGGCTACATGGGCTGCCCAATTCTGATCTTTTGCCCAATTAGTGGCAAAATATCAGAATTGGGCTGCCTGTGTGAACGCAGCCACAATGAGGTTATGGATAAGAGCAATATATTTTTTGTTGTTGTCAATTAGCAGCCAAGCACCGACTATCATGTCACCAGCATAGCCTACAAATAATAATCCTTGATATTTAATTCATTGGAAATTACCATCAAGCTCATCGCCGTGCACTTCCACCATCCTGTGAAGTTCACCTTAATTAATTTAATCTGTAGCTTGGTTAACCCTTCATGCTTTTCCAAGTCATAGTGGGAGGACCGCACAACATAGCATCGCGTGACTGCAAATATACAGCGACATAATGGTTATTCTATCAACAATTGCGCAACAATGTTTCCTCTGCCATTTGTCGCATGATTTAGTTAATCAACAAACTAACGATCCACCCCTGTCGAACAAATTTTGTTTTGTCGACATTTCGGAAAGGTTTGCTGTTTTCCATCAGGCCTGTCGTGGATTTTTTATCTGACAGGTTCTTTACTTGCATAAAAATGGTTGGACAGGAACATAGTGAGGCATAATTAAATACACCACATCTTTGCATGAAAAGTGTATTCTAATGTAGATGTTTGCCCCATGCTGCCAATCATAATAGTTCAAAATATAAAATAATAATCAACAAACATATTTTTTATTGACTGACAGCCCTAGTTCTTATATTAGTGCTATAGTAGCCCACTAACCAATCTTTCTTCCATTCTCACAGATTCAGACCTGTCACAGATTCAAATAACCTAATTGGAATTCAACACAGACTCTTATCCGATTGTCAATTTCCAAACGTTTTACGTGCCAACTGAAGATAACCCAGATCATATGATTATGCATTACCTCTGCCTGGGATCAAGTTACCGAGGTAACTGACTACAAGAGGAGCTACGTATCGTCTGCAGCTCAACGCTAACATGGAATACAGTAAAGAATACTGAGGAAATGAAGGGATTGTTTTAGACATTTCCATGTGTCCTGATCGTTGGCTGGCTGTTATCACAGAGCTCATTACTAAGATGGTGATAGATATTTACAGAGCTCATTACTAAGATGGTGATAGATATTTACAGAGCTCATTACTTAGATGGTGATAGATATTTACAGAGCTCATTACTAAGATGGTGATAGATATTTACAGAGCTCATTACTTAGATGGTGATGGATATTTACAGTGCTCATTACTAAGATGGTGATAGATATTTACAGAGCTCATTACTAAGATGGTGATGGATATTTACAGTGCTCATTACTAAGATGGTGATAGATATTTACAGAGCTCATTACTAAGATGGTGATAGATATTTACAGAGCTCATTACTAAGATGGTGATAGATATTTACAGAGCTCATTACTTAGATGGTGATAGATATTTACAGAGCTCATTACTAAGATGGTGATAGATATTTACAGAGCTCATTACTAAGATGGTGATACATATTTACAGAGCTCATTACTTAGATGGTGATGGATATTTACAGAGCTCATTACTAAGATGGTGATATATATTTACAGAGCTCATTACTAAGATGGTGATAGATATTTACAGAGCTCAAAACTAAGATGGTGATCGATATTTTACTATGTATTTGTAATGTTTCTATAAAGCATGCTAGCTACGTCCCGTGTGGCTCAGTTGGTAGAGCATGGCACTTGCAATGCCAGGGTTGTGGGTTCGATTCCCACGGGGGACCAGTACAAACAAAACATGAAAATGTATGCACTCACTAGTGTAAGCCGCTCTTGTCTATAAATTACTAAAATGTAAATGTACTCGGTATTGCACATTATGCTGTAATTGTCCCAAACTTCTTAGACTTGGGGACAGCTCAGGGACCAAGTATCAAAAGTAGAAGTTACAATTTTCTACTTTTTCATGTACTGTATATATTTTCTGGTTTGATCAATTTAAATAAATGCTGTATAGCTTTACACTCCCAATCTTTGACACTATATCTCTGACCACCCAGAATGAAACTATATAGACAAAAAAGTTTTCACGTCAATGAATACACACATTTATTTAACCCACCGCCATCCAGGATAATGAATAATTATTCATACATTAAAGTTAATTCTCATGAAATGATTTCCCCCTTTTTAAAATGTCATGAATCATCTAATTATCTCCAAGTGTATATGATACACTTCCAACACACATTTTCATACCATTCTGGTCTTGACTTTGTTTATCACTCGGAGATGGTTCAGTGAATTGTTCAGTGAATTATGCTTGTGTTATTTTGCCAAACTAATGCCTAGGCTTTAGCTCAGCGGGCTTACAAGGTAATGTTTTACACTAATGACCTGGGTTTATACCCAGTTGGACTTTTCCCTCTTCCCTCATTTCAATTCCACATTTTGTCCACTATGGGAGAATCTCAACGGCATACTCCTCCCGTCCTCTCTCCTTGCCTCCTTCTCAAAACCCATTGGAGGAGAAGGTCAGAGGGGAGGGACCTCTGGATTTCTCATCCAATGTGTTTTGAGAGGGACGTGAGGAGAGGACGCGAGGAGTATGCCGTTGAGATTCTCCCTATATTTAATACCGTTCTCTTCTTTTTCTTCACTCTCACCGCCAGTCTTATAATTTCACTCCTGATGATACTCTTGGACTACATGGAGGCCCCTCTTTCGTTCACCCCATTCTGTCCACCACTATATATGTTCATATCCTACTCTCTACAGAACACACACACACACACACACACACACACACACAATTGAACATTGCTGTATCGTCATCCCTGGAATTTAGTCACAAGAACTATGGAACATGAAGTGTCAGCGTCTTTGAAAGTCTAGCATAGATCAGGGGTGTTTGTCTTCGTGTATCTTTTCTTGAAAGTCTTGAACGTCAGCTGGTTAGTTGCCGTAGGGCTTTGAGTCTCCGGCTCTAGAGATCCACGACGGATGCTGGAGATGACTGATATCCTTGGGCATCACACTATATCTCTCCCTGTATTGTCCAGTAGCGGTCTTTACATCCAGCTCAATGGTTTCACTCTCGGCTCATCACTCCCTCGATGTGGGTTGGCATTTCGATCTCTAGTCTCTTCAGAAGCAAGTGTGTCTCTGCAATGACTGTAAGTAAAAAAAAAATGGTGTGTTTTTTTGGCATGTGTAATAGGTATGTGATGTCATAGCACGTCAGAATTACATTCTATGGTTCCATGATACTCGTATGGTAATTTGATAGTTTACTGAGTGTTCTCTCTCTTTGAGTAACACTGTAGTAGCAACACTATATCGGTCCTGTGTCAGCCATCACTCTGAAAGGATGTTTACATACAGTATGTTCAGATGGAGAACCAGTCAGCCTTTTGCTGCTCTCTCAACATCACATTAGATGTAATCAAGTATGGGGGGCTATTTGTGAGCGACACATGATGTTGCACAAATAACATCAGAGCCTACTGTAAACCTTTGCTGTGTCGCCTAATGAGAACATGTGCATACCAAAAGCACTCCTTTATTCATCTTCATCCTCTTCCTCTCAGGAAAATTGAGAAAAGGACGGAGATAAGAATTGACCTCTATCCCAGGCCTGCCTCTGGCCACAACCAAGAATCCAGCCCCTCCCCTATGCTTGAACCGGGCTCTTTCCACAGTCAGGATCATTTAATGGAGGACTTTGACATGGATGTGGAGGAGGAGGAGGAGGAGGAGGAAGATGGCTACAGGAAGAAGGTCCCAGAGCAGTGGTGCGAGTGCAACAAAGATGCATGTGAGGAGATGGAAGAAGGAAGAAGAGAAAATGGCGGCGGCAGGATGGTTGACAGTCTGAGTTGGGCTGAGGAGCTGGCTGAGGCTGACTGTCAAAGGAGAACAAGCAGATCATTTGACATCACTGTAAGTGCTCTCTCTCGCTCTCTCTCTCTCTCTCTCTGTGTGTGTTATGATGGTGGTGATGAAAGGTAGAGTGTGTGTGTGTGTGAGAGAGAGAAAGAGAGGGAGAATGTGTGTGTGTGTGTGTGCGTGTGTGTGTGTGTGTGTGTGTGTGTGTGTGTGTGTGTGTGTGTAGTTTGTGTACGGATTTTCTTATTTTCTTATTTTATTTTATTTAACCTTTATTTAACCAGGTAAGCGAGTTGAGAACAAGTTCTCATTTACAACTGCGACCTGGCCAAGATAAAGCAAAGCAGTGCGATAAAAACAACAACAACACAGAGTTACATATGGGGTAAACAAAACATAAAGTCAAAAATACAACAGAAAATATATATACAGTGTGTGCAAATGTAGCAAGTTATGGAGGTAAGGCAATAAATAGGCCATAGTGCAAAATAATTACAATTAGTATTAACACTGGAATGATAGATGTGCAAGAGATGATGCGCAAATAGAGATACTTGGGTGCAAATGAGCAAAATAAATAACAATGTGGGGATGAGGTAGTTGGGTGGGCTAATTTCAGATGGGCTGTGTACAGGTGCAGTGATCGGTAAGGTGCTCTGACAACTGATGCTTAAAGTTAGTGAGGGAGATAAGAGTCTCCAGCTTCAGAGATTTTTGCAGTTCGTTCCAGTCATTGGCAGCAGAGAACTGGAAGGAATGGCGGCCAAAGGAGGTGTTGGCTTTGGGGATGACCAGTGAGATATACCTGCTGGAGCGCAGACTACGCGTGGGTGTTGCTATGTTGACCAGTGAGCTAAGATATAGCAGTGATTTATAGATGGCCTGGAGCCAGTGGGTTTGGCGACGAATATGTAGTGAGGTCCAGTTGATGGCGCTGTTTTTCTTTTAATCCCTTCCACACCAACACAGACTGAACATAACACAGCATGCCTCAGCCAGCCAGTGATAGACTAGAGTAAGCAATTAGCTGGAAACGGATCCATCCTTTGACCAATCAGAGGTCATGTGATGAGGTGAGGAACTGGGGTACCATTAAAGAGTGTTGTGACACATCTATCCCGTCACTGGGTTTCAATCGTATCCTGTGGAGTAGTATTTCCTCTCCATCTCTTTTATAGTCACAGTATATTGCTAATAGATGAAGGGAAGTGATGGAGTATGACTCAGAGGTTAATTTGTTTAATCAGCCACAGTGAGCCACTGCTGCATGGTGACACAGCCGCACCCTGAGAGCCGTGTGTGTGCGTGCGTTTGCCTTCTCTGTGTCTTATGACTCACCACACGAGGAATGATGGTCAAGAAAGAGGGACAATCCTCTAGGAGGAAAACATACAAAGTGTACACTCAAAAACATACAGTACCAGTCAAAAGATTGGACACACCTACTCATTCAAGGGTTTTTCTTTATTTTTTACTATTTTCTACATTGTAGAATAATAGTGAAGACATCAAAACTATGAAATAACACATATGGAATCATGTAGTAACCTTAAAAGTGTTAAACAAATCAAAATATATTTTATATTTGAGATTCTTCAAATAGCCACCCTTTGCCTTTATGACAGCTTTGAACATTGAACAGAACAAGGCTATGTCAATAACTCAATTTTGACAAAAATGTTGTTAGAAATGTATAGTCCCAAACTCTCAATAATCCTGGTCAGCTCTCCTTTCACTGTTTTGCTTCCAGTTGAACAGATGGTAGCCTACATCCACATTATACAACACTCAACGCTCTTTGCATAATATCCTGATTATAATATCAGTCTGATACAGCAGGTTAGCCTGGTCTCGCCACCATTGATTTTGTTTGTCTTCCATTCACTCCCATCCTAATTCTTTATCTATCTCAACATCTCCCTTCACATTTTTTCATCTTGCCATCTTTCCGTCTCACGCTCTATCAATCATGCTGTTCCCATGGTGGAATGGAGAGATAGAAAGATAGAGGTATAGAAAGACAGAGATATTTGAGTCAGAAAAGGATATTCATATGATAGGTACGATATACACAACTTTGCAGAGAGCATATCTAACTGACAATCTCTTAGAAAGTGTCACACCCTGGCTATGGGACTCTAGTTGTTGAGCCAGGGTGTGTTTGTTCTATGTGGTGTATTTCTATGTTGGGGGTTCTAGTTCGTCTATTTCTATGTTTTGCCTGAGTAACTCCCAATCAGAGGCAAC